AGTAATCCCCCCAAATTTGTCACAACAAGAACGAGCCACACTCGTGACAGCTCCGAGCATGGCATGAGCTAGCAGCAAACTTGGCAGGAGGTTTTTCAGTAGGTTTGAAGATTGACGCAAAAAATGCACCCGACTGATCACCGAACTTGCGTTGAGTGAGCGTCAACGGCACTCATAACGATTGCGCTACCTCATGACATTGAAAGGATTACCTGATACATTTTTCTTGCAGCATTAGTAAAAGCAATGATTACAATATGTATACTGGCGATTTTGGAAAATATTGGTTAATTCCTCCCTTTGTAACTGCTTGGCGTGTCCAGGCACATTCACCTTCCTTCAATCCAAGGTTTCAAATCCTTATTGCTTATTACTTCCTTAACCTCCATTTTGAAAAGAAGAGCGACCTCCTATATATAAATATCATTAGTTCTTGATGTTTAATTCTTCAGAAGTATATAAAATATCAAATTGCGTACTGCGTTGTTTTGGTCTATTTAATCTACCGAAGCACGACTCCGTCATCAATGCATTTGCCAAGATATAAAAATGTAAAAACTAGGCAAGAAAAACAACTTGGATCTAGGAAGAAAAAAAACAGGAAAAAACAATTATTTGCTACATATCGCTCACTTACAATAAACTTTGACACGCATAAATCAGAAAGAAGGAAAAGAGACGCTTATTCCTTTGAGACGATTCAGTTCTAGAATCAGAAGTCATTTTTTCACAAGGCTAACAAAACGATATCTACTTTTCGGGGCTCTAAATACAATATGATCACCAAATACTCTATTAAACAAAATTTGCGTGGAGGTGAAGCAAAAAGGCTTGAAACCTTAAGAATGGCAAGGAATTTCCCCTCTACCAGCTGATAAATTGTGCGTCATTAATGTGTAGTTTCCATTGTAACTGCCCGTATAGAATGTTACGAACATGGCGTGCTCCAGCTATCTCGCAACATGTCTGATTCTCTGCAATCCGCGCACTAGTTCACCTCGCGCTGTCGCGATGTCACAATATCACGAACCTCGTAACATCCTCGCATCTTCCTAACAACGCCCTTGCGAGGTGTTCGCCCAGGCTCGCATGTTGAGAGATACGGCACAGTGCGAGATAGCTGGATCTGGGGCAAGCCACGCTCGTCACATGTTGCGACCTTGATGTCGTAACATACAGGGAGTTTACTACCGCTCTAGGTGTCGAGCTGCGAAGTTTGACGTTTGTTTGAAGCGAAGTATTCTCCAGCAGGATCTCCCAAGCTGAGAAGGAGCTCGACGTTTCCGCCTTTCCGGATACCCAATAAGAGTAGGGTCTGCCAGAAGCGCCACCGTCTGGCTGAATTAGTTGCTAGGTAGTTTCTTGATTCATATAGGTCAGCGACTACCTGTTGTGGAAACTTGGCAGGCCTTGGTGAGGCTGCTAAGTTTGGGGATTAATTCAATTGCTTGTACAGCATGTAAAAGGGAAAAAGCTCTGCACACTGGATCACATCTCCGGCGTCGGTTGTCAACCAATGTCAGGTTGCACAGGACGCCATATATTTCGGACCAAAAGGACACGTCAACGACTTGCCTTGGAGACTATCTTATGCTCTGCACCTACAACCGCGGGACGGTCTCCACCAATGCTGATCTTCACGCCCTTCTCAAAGTTGTAGGGAGTATCAACTACCACGTAATCGCCTCGCAGGAAACAAAGTGTACGAAGACGGATGAAGCAGCTGAGTGATGGCACATTCATCATTCGTGGTGAGGAAGTCCCATCACGGAACGTTGGATTTGTCGCACACCCATTGGTTGGCCATCTTGCCGATTAGCATAAGATTATATTGCCTCGCCTGGTTATCCTTCGAATCCATCCTCTGCATAAAAAAATCTCACTATTATCAAGTGCTATTTTCCAACATGCAGCTGATAACTTACAACTAGATGCAAAATCTTCTGCGAAGAGAAGTCCTTCTACAAATTGTCGTGGGTGGCTTCAATGCGAAAATCGGAATGCCAGAGGAGGGGAGCAAAGGATCGATATGGATCTGGACTCCGGAATGGGAATGGTAACTACGAATGGTAACTAATCGTTTTGTTGGGCTCCTACTCACTGCATGACTTTTTCATGGCAGCGCCATCTTCATGAAAAAAAACTTCGGCGGTGGACACGGGAGTCGCTCAACGGTATGAACATGCGGAGATTGACCACAGTCGCCATAAGGTGATGCTTATCGGACGTTTCAATGGAACCATTCTTCACCTGTGGCAGACCTCGGCGGCAAGTTTTCGGAGGGCAAGCTGAAATTCGTTTTTGCGAAAAAAGCAAAGAAGAAATCGTATGGGGTCAATTATGACTGTTTTTTCCACGACAAGAACGAAGAACCTCCCTCCCTCCCCCATCCTCGTTCCTAGTGCAGATGTTCATGCATGCGGCCTAGGTATTTCCGTCTTATTCAATACTTGATTAACTCCGCACATCTTAAAGACCGTTTAAAAACCTGCCAAGGTTTAATGTTTGTTCCAATGCGGGCGTTTGCGGGAGAATCCAAAATAGTTTCGGAAAATTTAGATAAATCAGTTTTTCTAATCCGTTTCTATTTATTTTCCGGTGGAGACCTACGGAGACCTCAGGTCTCCGATTAGCAAACACTTTTTGTTTCTCGTAATTTTACGTTCCTTATAGAAAACACTTTTTGTGCACCCCTTGACCCACAACTTAGAGCGCAATAACCAGACCAAAGCAGTTCTTTCCTTGCTAAGGCCCTAAATTGTTTTACCTTAGTAAAGAAAACGCGCTCCGAGTATACGACTTGCAGTGCTTTGTCGGGATTGTACGCGTTTGTGCAAGTTACAAAGAGGGCTTCGTAAATTCCTGGATTTTCGAGAGGGTATTTGTTTTCGTAAAATTCAATCGGAGACCTCGTGCCGAGGCCCGACCTGTGGTTCAGATCACCATTTCCTTTGAACAAAAGTGCATTTCATAGAAAGCTGAAAAAGAAGATCTGTCACTTTGTTGGAGGGAGGAGAAAATTTATATGTGAGGCGCCAAATTGGAGAAGCTCGCTCCTAGCCACTTGTGACTGGCCCATCGAGGAGGACCCAATGAAGGACTTGCCCCTCAGAGGACCGAGAGGTGATGAAAGTACCTCACTGCCTCGAACAAGGAACATAGAACGAGTTTCGGAAGCCACAATAGTCTGCATGAGAAGAGAGGAACACTGAGGCTGTATCAAACTGCATCACATATCCAGCGACTGGTAGCCATTACCAGTTGCAGAGCTTTGCCGGAAAATCTTCAAAAGTACGCAATCGAAATGTTGGAAGAGCAGAAGGAAGGAGACGTTCAAAAAGTAAAGCAGGAACCTTCTTGATTACCGTGTTCTGCTGAAAACATTACTAAAAGAAGGCGGAACTCGCACATCTTCCTGACAGAAAATGGAATCAATTAAGAATTCTACACCGATCTCTTCCGCTCATCAACACCCGTGTCAAACCTCGTTATCCCCACTGGAGAAACAACCGCGGAATCCACCTGCTGAATCTACCGCATTCCAGCCCATAAAGCAGCCACTGCTCCGGGACTGGGCCATGTTTCGGCCGGCTTCTTACGAGCTGGATGACATCGCCACGAGATAATTGCGGCGCGGTTAACGTCTTACCTTTAAATGACAAGATCACCAATATGTGAAGAACCTCCCTAATAAACCTCCTTCATAAGAAGAGCGATAGGAACATCTTTAGAACTTTTAACATGCCTGCTAAGCGTGCTTTACAAGCTCTTAACGAATCACGAAGATTATTTCACTCGCATATCAAGGACATTGGATGAAGCGCAACCTGCAGAGTGTTGGTCGCAAGTGATTAGGCTGCTTGGACATGCAGACGATTTTGAGGATTATTGAGGTTTGTTGAAGGTATCGCCTACTTCTCGTCTTATTCTTCGTCGAGTATGAGAAAGCGTTTGACAGCGTCGAGACCAATGCCATACTGTCAGCGCTCGTCGACCAAGGGGTGGACCCATCTTACGTGAGGACAATGGCCGACTGCTACAGGAATCGCGCTACAACGGTACAGCTTTTCCATCATCCCCTTAACATACCAATCTC